ATAAACAATATGAACAACTATTATATCTTCTTACTAGTTATTGACCCTTCCTTTTACTTAATGATAGTATATTCAAAGTAAAATAAAGTAACTAGGAGATACACAGAAGCCGAAAAGAGCATTGCAAGGAAAACAAAAATCAACAAGATAGTTATACGGACAGGCCAAACCACTAAAAACAGGGAATTTTTCGAAGAACGACATACATCGTAAAAAAAAGAAGCTATACAGATAGTAAGTTAAAACTGCAGAAACGAGAGAGCTGTATAGACGACAAATCAAACACAGAAAACGAGCATAACGGTGAATCAGTCAAACCTAGGAAACGAGCATAACCGACGAATAGACAAACCAGAAGCTTGACAATACGTCAAATCAAAGAAAGAATGCAACTGAGCAGACATACAGGTTAGCAAATGAATGTCAACGAAAATATACTGGATGAATGTTATGAACTTGTAAGTTATATCTTTCAATTCTGTGTTTGGTAGTACAAATCAAGTTCGTGTTGCTTCCAATGCAGATTCGAGATCAAAATTTACAAACATGAATTTAAAAAAAATATCAACTGTAAGAAAAAAAGAATCAATTGGTTCAAAGTTTAAGAATGCCTATAATTGCTTTCATCCACTTCTAGACAAAAAAAAATTTAGTACAGAGAAAACTGAGTAAAAGTATAACTTGATAAATAGTGGTTTCAAAATTGCTGATTTCCAATTTTTTTTGATACATTTGATAAAAGGTATTGATAAATATTATTTATCTTGTAAATTTTGAAACAAATGTATTAAGCCCAATTAACTCGAAAATTCTTACCGGTTTTGAAAGGTGAAGATTGTTATTCAATTATAAGAACAATTGTTTAATTGTGTTGCCAATTGAAGAGATGCGTGTAAAGTTGGTGTATACTATGTTTAAACGGTTGTCTCAATTTTCAATAGAGAAGATATAGGTATAGCACGCATCAATCATTATGAAAGAGGATTTTACAATATAAAAAAAATATATATCAAAGCAATCGGGATCCAAATATCTTGAATATGCAATTATAATGTAAATTCAAGAAAAATCAAGACACTTCTAAGTATTGGAATGACACAGTTGCACTTGGTATCTACTGAAAATAGTATAGACCAAACAAAAAAAATAACGCTGTCCACACCATGTATAGTGGATGACACACAGAAACACACATTGTAAACATAAGATTTTGCATCGGATCAGGCACCACAAGGAAAGAGAAGGTCAGAAGACAATGCAACACTTGGCGAAGAACAGTAACATCAGAAGTACAATAGATGGATTACAGCTAGGGGAAAACACACTTTACGACAAAAGATAGACATTAGTGGATGCAGTTTGTTATAATCCCACTTGAGACGAAGATGATAAGAATGAAGTCATCGGAATTATTTTTCGTACTGTATATAACACAACTGGATCATTACCATTTATTATTTCGTTTTATGAGACAATAACCCTATTTGATTAACAAAATTGGTTTTCGCAGTTTGACAGGCTTAACAAGAATATGAATAATTTGTGTTAGCCGGAAACATATGCTCAGTGGATTGCAACCATATATATTCACTGATAACATGAAAGAAATACAAGTGCTTACTCAATGATGGTTTATTGTATTAACATGTTAATATTAAAAATTGTATTTGTTTTTACTTCTGATATTTTTGACACAAATAAACAATGCAGAACTGTATCAGAAAAAAACTTTAAATAGAAAAAAAAATATTGAATGTTTGAACACGAATTATATTTAAACTCGAGAGAAAATATTTTTCTAATATAATTAAAGAGTTTTTTGTCAGTTTATCAGTGCAATCATTCAACCGATTTGCTTTGTATGAATTTAAATGTTAGGGTAGGGTATCAAATGTCTATTTATGATAAACAACAGTGGGTCGCTATGTTACACACCTTTAAATGAAATTCACGAAAGAAGTAATTGAAAGAATATGATAATTAGTCATTTGAACTTCTGAGGGCAGTAATAAGGACGAATTTTGTAAAAAAAGAATTTCAATACGTTAAAATTTACACATTAATTATTATTACAAGGTACCTTGTATATGAATTCTAAAATAAAAATTGGAAACGTCAAAAAATGAAATGATTTTTTTTTTAAACGTTGAGTCAAACAAAATCATGAAAAAAAGAAAATTAACAGTCTTAAAAAAGCAAGTCAAAAACTAAGCTTAAGCAACATCATAGATACAACAAAACATTCAGCTGTCCAAACTTTGTATGTTCTAACAATTAAAGGGCTAGATTTTTTTATTAATTTTTTAATGCACAGAATTACGAACAGGACACGCAATGAAAGACGACGTCGATTTTAAAGGCGAGTTAATATCTTTGAAAAAAAAAACTTTATAAGAGTAGCAAAAGATAACAAAGGGATGTTCAAATACATAAGTCGAAAATAAAATAACAATGTCATGAAAATCGTGAAAAATACCAACAACAGTTCACAAAACATAACAGAAAAAACTTAAGTCTGAAGTAACACATACCGGGGATTACAGGTGCTTCATGCGTCCAAGCAGATCCTTCTAAATATGTGTCACACGTACAAACCGGGTGATAAATCTAATAATCAGTTAGTCACCATTGAGGAAAAGACAATCTTTGAAACATATATATTGTAACGGTCAAGAAATTCGTCATTGCGTCCGTAACATTTTCAAATTGATGATTTTTCAACTTGGAGCTTTTGGTTCAAAACCTGCTTTGTAAGCAGCAACCCTTAATCAGAAATAAGTAAAATAAAAGAAAATGAAAAAGGTTAGCCAAAACCATAAATACAAGATAAGACAAATTCAAAGTGATATATTTTTCATCATTACATGCTTCGTAGTTCATTTCAATCAAAGACCATATGGCGTTTTAAAAAACGAGACGAAATTACATCTTGATAATCGCTAAAAAATGAATTTGTAAGAAGTGTCATACTTTAAAAGGTTACCTTTTCGGAATGAGCAGAAACGCTTTTATGGCCAGTATTTGAATGTATACCAATGAATTAATATATTTTAAGGCTTGTTCAAATATGTTTTTGCTGATATGTTAATGGTTCATATTTCCAACCACACTTGTAAATATACGGTACCTTGCTTATACGAATTTTACCTTTCCCGTTAACCAAACACAAACTATATCAATAACACGTATGAAATATAGTGCTTCTGAATTATTTCTTTTTTTAAACAATGCAAATACAAATTGTTGCTTACACATGTTACAGAAGAAAGAATAACTTCTATTTATCCACGTTCATTTGGGTTTTCTGTAATTGTTAAATGTAGGAATTAACTGAGGTGTGGAAGAAATGAACCAAACAAGTAGCATTTGCTCTTTATACAATTAAGGCTTATTTCGATGTCAATTTAGTTAGCATCTGTCTTATGCTATGTCGCTGGTAATAAAAAAAAGCCTGATATCGAATGTAACCACACAAGCCTATGAAGATATAATCCAAATGAGTATGACATCTTGGAAGGTTATTCTAATGTTTATCTTTGACGCCTTCCCGGTTGCTATAGAAAAGGATAAAAATAAAACCCTCACCAGACGTAATGAATAATCTGTACTACTACAAATCATAAAATACACATGTAGGTTTGCCCCTAAGGTTAAAATGTGTAAATTTAATGAGTTTCATGAAACACGTCACCTATAATTAACACGCCTAATATAGTGGTACATTGGATATATAGTTTGAGTGAAAAGGATAATGGCAAAGCAGTTATTTTGAATAGTCATCACAATTATTTGCCGATTTTCTAGCGCAGAAAAGAGCTCCCACTGATCCACCAGTGCACACATATCATCTACCCCTGGTGTTAAATTTAACGAGAAAAGAGTCGGTTCTACATGAAAATGCTAATACAACATGTACATTAGTCAAAGGTACCAGGATTATATTTAGATACGCCAGACCCGCATTTCGTCTACATAAGACTCATCAGTGACGCTCAGATCAAACTTAAGTGATAACACAACCTGACAGTGAGGTCGTATCTCATTCACGTACCTTTTTTGTGGATTTTCAACAATGAGATCATCCGAGCGTTGACGATGTTTAACGTTCATTTTAATAGACAACGTATCTCTGCTTATAATAGGAAGGAAATATGATCAATCTTTGCCAAATAAATCATTGTTTGGAAAGTTAAAATGTAAAACTGAACTTCTTTTTCACATGTTTCGTTTGAATGGAAAAAACTTTAAAAACTCCTTTATTCTTTGTCATACATTTTTGGGTTTTAATAGACATTGAAAACGTTTAGATCGGTCTTGATCACAATATGTTGTACAGACCACAAAGGATGATACACATTTAAAATATCAAGAGATCTCAAATATTCGTTCCATTTCAATTAAGGTTATTATATATTATATCTCAGACTATGCAAACGAGGAAGGCAAACAATGCTACATGTTGAAACCTAGTAAGACGTCTGCTGTTAGAGTAATTTGGCCTCTCATTATAGAAGACAAACATTTATAAATTTAAATTATGCAATAACTATAAATTTTATGAACAGTAGTTTATCTGATGTTCATCTTACTACAAACCCTGTGATAAGTCTTGTTCGGTAGATCATATTTGTGGAAGTGAGGACGGGATTGGGAATTGATGTTTCTTATAATGAAGTCTTGACCTTTCCTTTGACTTAATGGTAGTGCTGTCAAAGTGAAATAAAGTATCTACGGAATACATAGAGGTCAGACAGAGCATTGTAAGGCATTCACAAATCAATAAGAGAGCTATACGGACAGGCCAAACCATAAACCATTCAGAACAAATATATACGGTATGGGCTTTACTCATTGTTCAAGTCTGTACGGTGACCTATAGTTGTTAATTTCTGAATCATATGGTCTATTATGCAGAGTTTTTTCATTGGCAATCATATCACATTTTCTAATCTTATAGTTAAATGAATGAATTAACGTAGCTTTATGTTACAATAACTTACCGATTCTGCGATGCGTTTCTTCTCTTCAGAAATTAATTTACTAAGACATTCCTTTTGTAAAACTAATCTTCCTCATGACATATTTATATGCACAGAGTCTACAAAGAAATAATTTCGTCAAAAAACGGTGATACACTACAGTAACTCTAAATAGCTCAAGCATTTAAATCTGGTGGAATATGATACGTGCTATATTTATACATAATAATTTTTCATGAGTTAAACGATAGATTCTACCACTGCATCGGTTGAAAAACGCTATAATCCCGCATCATACGGTTCAATGTTATAATATTAAACGCATTGGCATCGTTATTTAATCAATCATATATCAAAAACCAAGTGTAATCATGATAACTTTAAGTTAATTTTCAGATTTTATTGATATGATTACTTGCCTAATACAAATGTTGTACATCTACATTGAAATTGTTTCTTTATATACAAGCATGGATACAACAAATTATATGACACGTTTGGAAAAACCAAGCGTTGACATATAGAGTGTAATTTTTTTTTTATTAACAGTTCACTATCTGAATTTGCTGTTCACATGTTTTATTGTCAGATTGATGTTATGTTCCTTGTTGATCTTTTCTGATATAAACACTCACTTCATTACTTGTAATAATAAAAGGGACATCCAATAGCATAGAACATTCATTTGAATCGAATTATGACTTTGATTATCGACATAAATGAGTTCACAGATAAAATAATGTAATTAAAGACAAAATATTTTTTTAATATTAGTATACATTTTGTTTTCCATATTTATTTTAAAATGTTCTTTCTTACCATAGAAGGTATTGGAATATTTGTCACAATCATATACATTATGATAGTAAATAAAGGCAACAGTAGTATACCGCTCTTCAAAAGTCATAAATCGATTGAAAAAAAACAAATCCGGGTTACAATTAAAACTGAGGGAAACACATCAAATATAAGAGGAAAACAACGAAACAATAGAAACTCTAGAGTGCAACATAAAAACAAACGACAATGTAACACACATAGAAGCGAACTATAAGACAAAAATTGCTATTTTCCTAGCTTAGGACATTTTAAGAAAACATGGTGGGCTGAACCTGGTTTTGTGGCTAGCCAAAACCTCCCGCTTTTATGGCAATGTTGAATATAACACTAAAATGACAACATTACATGACAGAACTACAATACAAATAAATGGAAGAACATACAGGACAGAAAAAATACACAAATAAACAATACAATAGAACATTACGACATGCTTATAGTTATTAAAGGTACCAAGTTTATAATTTAATACGCCAGACGCGTGTTTCGTCTACATAAGACTCATCAGTGACGCTCAGGTCAAATAGTAAAGAAAGTCAAGCAAAAATGAAGAGCATTGAGGACCAAAAATTCCAAAAAGTTGTGCCAAATACGGCTACGGTTATCTGCCTGGGATAAGAAAATCCTTAGTTTTTAGAATAATTCATATTTTTGCAAACAGTAAATTTACAAAAATGACCATATAATTGATATACATGTCAACACCGAAGTTGTGACTAACTACATAATAAAAACGAATACGTAAATCAACCTAGGTCAGCACATAAAAACAGCACAGCTGAACCACGCATTGTATGTCACCCGACTAGATCGAGCAGAAAACGATGTTATCATGATTACTTTCAAAACAGTAATGTGATGTTAAACATTTCAATTAGGGTGTGATTGTAATGTAATTGATTACATTATATTTGCAACGTGATTGTAATTTAATAGATAACATCTGCTAATGTAATCGGCCCTATATCTTCCGTTGGTAGAATCTGGTTCTCTAAAGAATATTAGACCACGTGTGGGAAAACTTTATCTCTCTTTTTTCAGTGATATCCAAAACAATTTTCTTTCTTTTTATGCAACGTTGTAATGTGTTACATCAAAACAAACGTTTACCAATGCAGATAGGAGATCGATTTAAACACACGTGAATCTAAAAATAAATATCAACCGTCTGGAAAAAGTATTAGTTAGCGCACAGAACCATTTTAAACCCGGCAACATTTTTTAAAGCCTGTCCAAAAGTCAAGAGCCTGTATTTCAGTGGTTGTCGTTTTTTTTTTGTCTGTTTTATTTGCTTTTCGCAAATTGTTTTGTTATACATTAGGCCATGAATCGTTGTTAGAATTGGCTAACCTTGTTCTTGTGAGGGCCAGTATGTGTTTCCTCGTTGTTGAAAGCCGTATAGTTGCCTATCATTACTTTCATCTACGTTATTTGAACTCTGATGGATAGTTGTGTTATTGGCAATCAAACCACATCTGCTTAATTCTACATTAGGGGAAATGTCTGACAATCATTATTTGAGTACAGAGAAAGATGAGTTAAAGTATTAATTGATAAAAAATGATTTCAAAATAAATGATTGTCTTTGTTTTGTTTTTATTTGTTTTACTTGAATTTAATACAACAACTTCTGGTATAAGATATCAATGTACATTTTTGACCTTGGAAATCGTTAAACTTTTGTATAAAGACCAATTTAAATGCTTATTGGTTTTAAATGGTGAAGATCTTCTCAAATAATTGTACAGCGATATGATCGATATGATCTTTGTGGAAAATAAACAGGTCCATGTTAAGTTGACGTATACCAACATTTAAACATATGATTCAATAGTCAATGGAAAAAAATAGGTTAAGCGCGCATTGATCGTTCTAAGAAAGGATGTTATAATATAAAATTATATAGAATAAATCGGTATCGTAAATAAAACAATATAATGTAAATAAATTAAAAATAAAAATAAACTTGTAAATGGTGATGGGGAAAGTATAACTTGGTATCTACTTATTAACAGCAAAATAACAACATGATAACATCGAAATTATCACCCTTCATTATTGCAGTTTTTATTACCGACATACCTTGAGATATGAAAATACAGAGATCATACGAAGACGATTAAGATGCAAGACAATATAATGAGAATGCCATACAACCATACTGTATAGACACTTTTGCACATGACACCACAAGGTAAGAGAAAGCCAAGGAGATCACGCAACACTTGGTTGAGAACAATAACATCGGAACTGCAATAGATGGGTTACAGTTTAAGAGAAGCACCTTGTATAAAAAAAAAGATAGACAGAGTTTGAGGAAGTTAACATTCACACCTTATATGGCAAGAAATCTAAGGAATCATCAACATTGATATTCGCAGTTTAGGTTGCTTCAAATGAATGGATTTAATTGTTATTAGCCAGAAAGACATTCTTGGTGGATTTTGACCATTCATATCCACTGTAAACAAGGTAGAAATACATGTACTGACTTTTTTTAATTTTCATATTAACATGTATCATACTAATTGCCTTTGATTCTGATATTCAATAAATGCTAGACACGAATTAGTACTGCAGTGCTGTTTCAAAATATAGAATATAAATTGAAAAAAAAAGCATGATTTTTTTTTTAAAACACAAATTCCATTTAAACTGGACAAAAAATAGATCTTATTTTCAATATAATTAAAGAGCTTTTATTATCAGTATATCAGTGGAATCATTCAACCGATTTGCTCTGTATGAATTTAAATGTTAAGGTGAAGTATCACATTTCTATTTATTATAAATACATAAAATAACTGTTAGTCGCTATGTTACCCTCCTTAAAATAGAATTAACAAAAGGTTGAAAAGTAGTAATTTAAAGAATAAGACATTCATTGAAACTTATGAGGGCTGTTATTAGGACGAATTTGATAAACATGATAAAGGTAGAACTTTAATGCGTTAAATGTAACATATTAATCTTTACTTCGTTGTACCATTGCATGTATTGATTTATCGATATCAATTCCAAATTAAAATAGTGAAGTAGAAAAGTGGAATGAAATATCAAAACAGGAGCCAGACCAAATCAGAAAAAAGGATAGCATACATCAGTATCTCTAGAAATTATTAAAAATCGGTTAATATCAAAAACTTAAAATTTCTTACGCGTGTTGTGCGTTGTGTCCATAATAACTCACCAAAAGACAAAACCTATGAGAAAGTTGAAGAGCATCAAACGCATTTTGATCCTTGACCATCAATCGAAATAATTTTGTACCTTGAACATCAATGTCGTAATAAAATCGTTTTGAAATACTATTTAAATTTTAGATCTAAAAAACCAAAATCTAATTAAATCAATATCATGATAAAATGGTCATTAGTCATAGTTTCTGTGCAGTTGATAAACCACAAACCCTGGTGTTGACTCCTTATTAAAGATCTTTAAAGATAAGATCATGCGATCGTACAAGATTTATAACATCTATTTCAATTAAATTCGCAGAATCTCCTTAATAATAATAGAAACATGTCGAGTATGAATTTTTTAAATGTATAATATTTTTTTTTTATTGGTTTTTTTTCAAGCATTTGGTTTGTATGGACAAACTTTAACCATTGTTTGCCGTATAAAAAAGAAAATTTCATGACGTACACGGAAATTTTCTTGTAATTTTTTAAATAGTTAATTAAGCAGGAAGAAAAAATTGTCTACGTCAGAGGCGCGTTTAGACTACAAAAGACTTATCAGTGACCATATCATATCAACTAATCTAAAAAGTAAAAACTGAGTAAGTAAAATTGAAAATGGGGAATATGTCAAAGAGAAAACAACCCGACCAAAGAGCAGAGAACAGCCGAAGGCCACCAATGGGTCTTCAACGCTCCCAGAGGTAGTCCTCAGCTGGCCCCTAAATAAAATTGTGTACTAGTTCAGTGAAAATGGACGTGCATACTTTAAAATTACTACAGAGCATAGTTAGTAAACATAGCAAACCATACGCAACGATGGATGCATTCTGGCATGCCAAAAACGAAGACGAGTGAATCATTAAAAAAAGGCACAACGAAATATTGAGGGAACTGTACAGACATCCAGTCAATTAAGGAGACTGAAGAGCTTAAAACAAGTCAAACAATAAAAAAAGTCTGATGTACGGACAATAAATCATTTCAAGGAAACAATAGTGTTGTAATGACAAAAAGTCAAAGCCAAAGTAGCGAGGAAGCTGTACAGTAAAAATGTCAAAAACGGAAAATGAGAAAGCTGTCCAAACAAAATGTAAGATAAGAGAAATGGTACAGTTGAGCACACATACAGGTGAGAACATATGAGTTGAGTGGATACTTTCAACCAAAACAATTTGATATACATGAGGATGATAAAACATTACACACTGTACCAAAGTCATCGACTGTTTTTGCGCTGCACGTTACATTATCTTTCATCCAATTGTTTGGTAGAAAACAATCAAGGTAATATAGCTAACAAATATTGAAATAAACAAAACACGCTGATGATAATTTGTTGAACAAAGGATATACATGAGATATACGGAACTACCGTTGCTTAATATTAGAATAACTTACCGTCTCTTCAGAAATTAATTTCCTAAGATATTCCTTTAGAAAAAACGATCTTCCTCATGACATGTTTGAATGAACACTGTGTACAAAGACATAATTTTGTCATAAATCATGATACACTTCAGTAAATTTAAATAGCTCAATAATTAAATCAGGTGGTATATGATATGTGTTATATTTTTAAATAATGATTTTACGTAGTTGAAAAAAAAATTATACCACTGCATCGATTGTAATAAGATATTTCTCCACCCGATTTTAAACGAGAGGTTTGTTGTGTGGTACACAGTTTTAAAATGTCAAGCTTATTGAAATATCAGTTTTACGAGATCCGTTGGTAAAATATGTTTCTCCGAGAATTTTTAAACTTTATATAGGAAATCTTTATATTTCTTTTTTCAATGATCTGGAAAACAATGTGCTCTGTTTATGTACTATTATCATGCATACACACCTTTTTCAACTCATCTCTATACTCTGGAGGAAGCCAAGAACAAGTGACGCCTCAAATGATTGTTTAATAAAGATCTGAGATCGAATGAAACACACATGGATTATAATAAAAAGCATAAACCGTCCGAAAAAAGTATCAATTGGTCCAAATTTGAGAAAGCCATTTAAAAGAAATAACTTGTGAAAACTTTCGACTGTCAATAAGCAGAGAAAACTGCGTAAGGGTATTACAGGATCTGCTTATCCTTCCGGAGAACCTGAGATCACCCAAAGTTTTGGTGCGGTTCGTGTTGCTTAGCCTTTAGTTTTCTATGTTGTGTTTTGTGTACTATTATTTGTCTGTTTATCTTTTGCTTTTTTAGCCATGCCGTTGTCAGTTTATTTTCGATCTATGACTGTCCCTTATGGTATCTTTTTCCCCTCTTTGATGCATACTTGAAAGTCACAGATTTCCTTTTACGTTGTTTAAAAGTGCTGATGTAGAAAAACGATCAGCATACAATATATATAAACGATAGGTGAGATTTAGCTATAACAAATTGAACGTACATAGATTAAAAACCTTATGCATTAATAATCACATAAAGGCGTCGAAGTATAACTTTTATATAATAAATTAACAACAAGATAAGAAATGATATCAAAAGAAAAACACTCAAAAAAGAAACACATGTGGATATGATAAATGTTCATTGCAATATAAAAGATATATTAAAATAACCAGCCATTTAGACGAATATAACAAACACGTCACATTTGATCTATATCGCGTAACATAACTATGATAACAACATCGAACAAGCTAAGCACTTCACACTAAAGGCTTGTTTGGTTGTATTTCATGTATTTGGAATGAATAAATTATTGAAATTCAAAAGGAAGTGTGAAAATACAAAGTAAACCTAAAGTTCAGACAGAAACTCGTCGAATGTAGAAATCTGGTATCGTAGTTGTTTACTGAGATAGACAGTTGTACCTTGATATGAAATATAGCTCAATCTTTCTCGATAGTGGATATAGAATACTACAAGACTAACAATATGAATTCATAAGTCACTCCTGTAGTCTTTCATAAATACTAGTAATGATAAAAACTGTAAAAGGTAGAGATACCGTCTTGCTTTGCTATATTAATAATATATGTCATCTATTATTGACGTTCAGAACTAATGACAAACACTGTTCAACCTCTTTAATATCGACAGTTTGACTCTCTGTAGAAATAAACAGAAATAGCAAGTAAAATTAAGGTATTAGCCTGATTGAAGTGGCAATACAATTTTTTTTCACTAATGGCTGTGACTCCGTATTCATCTGATTGCTTATTGTGGTTGTCGTAGAAATACAATCGTATTCTTATGCATGTTTTTTTTCTGATTTGGGTGTACGAGCAGTGAAAGCTTTTCATTTGGAATGTTTATTTAGTTTGCAGTGACAGTGCAAGCTTATTCATTTAAATCATTACTAATTCCATTTTGTTTCGTTAAGACTACTACCCTAGCACAGTTTGCAAATAAACTCATCACAGATACCAGGATAAAATTTGGTATTTACGCCAGACGCGCGTTTCGTCTACAAAAGACTCATCAGTGACGCTCGAATCTAAAAAAGTTAAAAAGGCCAATTAAAGTACGAAGTTGGAGAGCATTGAGAACCAAAATTCCTAAAAGTGTTGCCAAATACATCTAGGGTAATCCATTCCTGAGGTAGAAAGCCTTAGTGACGATCACGCCATAACTGTTAATTGATTACCAAAGACATAGAGTAATATCAAGAAAAATAATCTGTCAAAGAAATCAAATTATATCCTAATTAGCTCGACAATCACATCGAAGCGTGCAAATAAAATTACCTACATTTAGACAACATCGACGACGTAAAGATATGTTAGATAATTTGGTAGGAAATAACGTGTGTATAGGACAAATCATTCTGATGGACTTTGTAAGATGTAACATTACCAATTCGGGTTCGGTCAAAACGAACATACCGGAAAGAATTACATTTGAAAACAAAAGGATTCCTACACATAGGTGAAATATCAAACAAATTGGAATATATATATCGATAATTTACGTATCAAATGAAAGATTATTGGCCGGTGATCGATGTAGAACTCATTTTTTACATGATAAATTTAAATGGTTCGAAAATTGTATGAATGAAGTAAAAAAAGGATGCCATATATTGCATGTTTATCTGATATGAAGTACTTGTTTTGGTATATCCAAATTATGGTAGCTATTACCCAATGATATTTAAAAAAAACAACGTTGTATTGTCCCTGCCACCCATCAATACTTGAAATTGAAAAAACAAAATTAAGATGGAAAGCAATTGGAACCAAGAATAGTTATATGCGTCTTATTGAAAATACATTATCCATCATTAAAAATAAAACATAAGAGCATCAGTTTGTCATTAATATTGTACGCTAATATATATCGGTAGTCTGTCAAAGATGCTAGTATACTAAATTGTGATTCTAACAGTAAATATTATTTATATCTATCACTAATGTCACTAATTATGGACGCTCTGACCTACTCAAATATATTCATCTCTTATATTTAGATAGTTATCCTCTTTAATTTTATAGAAATAGACAAGTCAGAATCAAATATTTATTATGTTGCAGTGACACATACGACACTTCCTACAATTTATATATACTGCATTATTTATGTGTTATTAATCAAGTATTTATTCTGTTTTCAGTGACAGAAACGACATATTTTATGTATACTGTATATGTTTATGTGTTATCTTCATCCAATAAAACTCACCGATCGAAAATTTATTTACAACCATACAAACAGAAACAAAATATTGAAACTGGCAGTTTGAGTTACAATTCAAGGTATTTTTATACAATTACTGGTTTCGACAATAGGAACACACAATAGTGAAATTAACTAATTTTGAGTGTCAATAAATGGTGGAGGTACTTGATGAATTACATGCTTATATTGGTAATTCCGAATCTGTTCAAAATTTTGATTTGTGCACCCTATTTACCACCTTGCTTCATAATTTCATTTATAAAAAAAAAATCACATACATAATCAAATGGGTATTTAAAAAGTAAAAATTCAAATATATTTATTCGACCTTTTATTTCATTTTTTAGTAACAACACACAACAGAAATATGTCAATTGGAACTGCTTTGATACGATAACGGCACCTGAATGTTTACTACATAACATGTTGGTTCGCTATGATCGTTATGTGATCTGAATTGCAATGTGGACTAACTCTGCACCATTTATTGAGAACCTGGTTCTTTTATTGCTACGAGTTACAATTTATGAATAAAATCAGCAAAGACCTATCGAAACAACATCTGATACAATCAGTTATTAGTTTTAATACTTTTAGATATTTGGGTGACATATTGGCTCTCAATAACTTCAGTATGCACACGAAAGAGATGCATATCCGGTTCAATTCACTTTAACACAACTATTACTAACAAAGCACGCTACCTTTTTCTAGATCTTGAGATCTTGATATTTATATTTTTAACGGGAAGCTTAATACTTAATTTATGATAAAAGAGATGATTTTTCATTTCCTATTATTAATTATCCATTTTGAGACGATGATTGTATCAATTTTGTGGTGTTTATGTATCTCAACTTGTTCGATTCGCTCGTGGATGTAACAACGTATTTGATTTAAACGAAAGAGATCTTTGTGTTACTGACATAAAATTATTTACCAGGGTATTCGAAATCACAAACTGGTCAACACATTTAACTAATTTTATCATCGGTACAATGAAAATCATTCGTATATCATCGTGCTGACATCGTATACGTTCAGGTATTCCACATCCCAACTTTTATGGTAATAATCTATACAATTCTATATATTCTATACAAAGCAAAACAAATGTCGTCATTCAATGCAAAAGCTAACCAAGATTTTAAACAGACTTAGTGTCTTTTTGTTGTTGGTATGCACAAGTACCTGCCCACGTTCACTCTGTGTTTTTATTAGATGCATTTCTATTTGTATTCATCTGATGATTTTTTTTCAACGGATTTTTATAGTTCGTTCTTTTGTTGTACGTTTACACCACTGTTTCGAGTTATGGGGAGGGTGGGATCCCGCTTACACGTTTTACCTTGCCACATTCTGTATGTTTGTGTCAAAAGTCAGGAGCCTGTAACTCAGTGTTTGATGTTTGTTCCTGTGTACATAAAATTGAGAATGGGAATGGGAATGGGTAATGTGTCAAAGAGACAACAACCCGACCATAGAGCAGACATATTTGTTTTTCGTTCATTTTTTTTGTACGTTAATTAGGCCGTTAGTTTTCTCGTTTGAATTGGTTAACATTTGTAATTTATAGCTGACTATGCGGTATGGGCTTTGCTCATAATATTGTTGAAGGCCGTACGGTGACCTATAGTTGTTAATTTCTGTGTCATTTAGTCTCTTGTGAAAAGTTGTCTCATTGGCAATCATATCACATCTTCTTTTTTTATAATTATTCAGAAAGGATGTAGTTACGATACTGGTGTCAGGTCATTAGATATGGCATTTTTTGGAATTAATAATGATTCTGTCGTAGGGTCTTTGCATCGGAAATAAACATATTTGTTCTAAAACCAGTTGTTGGCAT